TTTTGCTCAGCAAACCTCCATCCGCACCCCCCCATTGATAGTCATACACAGTTCACTTCAGAATCAAACGACACACTAAGCACTCATATGAGGACGCAGTATATATTAGTTGGAGAGAATTTTGTATAGATCCATACGGATTGATATTCTAAGTGCTTCGTTTAGCGCTATTATATTCTACTCACTAAATAGTAGGGACTAACAAGATTCATACTTACTGAACCTCACTATTAAAATTGAAGTTCGCTTTTTAAGTGCTAGCTACTATTAAAATTTAGTACGTTGTTATCATGTCGGGATCTGAAGAAAATATTATTTAAGCGATGTTATTATTTTATCAAGTATAAATTTTTTTGGGGGATGTTTTTTTTCATGAAGCAATTAGCGAGCCTCGTTATAAACCTTGTTGGCCAAAATAAGGAAAATAGTTTCTCTTACGACACATGTATAAAATATTGACGGAAAAAAAACCTATCTAAAAGAAAATAGTGGAGGACCATTGAAAAACACATTTAGAGTTTAATCAATTTTTTTCGTTATTTCTTACTTTTAGTCATTTATTTCCGATATATAGACTATGAATTTATTTCCCATTGCAAGTTGGGGTTCTCTTTCCTTGTTCTAGGCCGACAAGTTTTTTAACGATGCCACGTTCCTTTCATGGCAAAAAAAAATACAAAAAAAAAAATACAAAAAAGAAAAAAGAAAAACCCATTCCCAAAACTCTTAAGATTTGGAAATAGTTTTGAGTAAAGAAATGCTACCTGTCATGATTTTGGTATGGTTTTGATTCTAACCCTCGACATTAGTTATCTGACCATTTTTTTTCCCAAAAAAAAATTGGGCATGGAAATTCCCAAAATTCCTCGACGTAAAAAATGGTAAAACTATATACATGTGTGTCACTTGATTATGTTATCTGACGTACAATAAATACTGCATATGACATGGAAAATTGGTCATCACCAATCACAGAATTCTCCCTTTCTTTTAGGCTTCGATAGCAATAACAGAGATTTACGGAACACGTTCTAAAACATGCTGCAATGCCTTTTTGATTCCATCTTGATCCAGTGAAGTTATCAGTTGTATTTCTTGTACCTAAACCCCCACAAATTTAGACTTCGTGATACATATATACATAATTATATATAAAGAGTGTGTGTGTGTGTGTGTGTGTGTGTGCGTGTGAGAGAAAGAGAGAGATACATAGTACTTGCCTGTCGTCCAGCTCGTGCAAGAAGAGTGTATTGATCTCCAATAGGTGGTGCCTGTAATTAAGAAGACTTTTTAATTAGTCCGTGTCGGTTAATTTCTACTGTAAAATCAACACGAGACCAGAATTGGAATTTCTATTTTTGGTTCTCTTACATTAGAAAGCCAAAGCTGCAAATCTTGGGAACCACCCTTTTCTCGAATCCTTGCCGACTAATTCTCACATCATTTATGCTGGACATTACAAACAATAAATGACATGCCAATTATTTATTATTGCTAATGTAACATACTACTGT